TTATAATAGAAACTAAAACGCTATATTTATAAAGATACATTTGCGTTCGGATCGAATCCTAGTATTTCATACGTGTTAGGTAACAATGAAATCGCAAAAACATTTTATTTGATATTTATGTTAGAGAAGTTGAACTAAAAAGAAGTATATAATGGAGATCGTTAATAATATAAAGTTATTTTATGGATTAGTGGTCAATGGGGTTAGGTCATTTTAGAAAAGAGACATAAAAATTAAGGTACATCTACTCTTGTAGGCACCAGTGAGCATATAAAAATATTATTCAAAATAATTAATATAAGGCGTGTTTAATTGCATTTATTTTCCATCCAAATTTCTATTTTGAAGTGTTTGATTACTTTGTTTTCATGGAAATATTTTTCAACTTATAAAAATATACATAATTTTCCTTGTTTTTAAGAAAAATATTTTCTTTGGGGAAGTAGACTTTTGTTTTCTTCAAAACAAAGAAAATATTTTCTTTTCTATGATATATTTTTCATGTCAATCAAATATACTCAGTTGAAAAATTTTATGTTCTTTTATCACTAAAAACGCTCATAATTTTTGCATCGAGAAAAACTCGTACGTTTGCTTGCTCTAAGATCTGCTCGAGACATTGCTCGTGTCACACCCCTCATGGATAGTGTTTTAACGGTCAAAATTTGGTTGCTTGGGTTGGGCATCGATTGATCTCACGTAGGTGAGCTAGCATAGGTTGTGCTACCATAGAACTCAATCTTTCCAACCTCGTAACTATTTCGAGAGAGTTTTTTCATGTGTATTTTCTTTATTTTATTTTTTGGCCTTCAAATATGAAGGGCGTGATTGATGCATTGACTGATAATAAGCCATATATGATCATTCACGGGCTAATCTCCTCTTTTTTGTGGGTGATTTGTCATGAAAGATTAAAGGAACTTGTGATTACAAGTTTTGGCCTTACATTATAGGGGAATAGGGTTTATCGTTAATCATGGTGTGATTAGAATCCAATAATTGTGTAGCAATTTGTATAAACCCTAGATATCATTATTGAACATACAACATAAAATATTTTTTTAGACTAGATATTTAGCGTACAAAAATCTCCCATCACCGCCTATTTATAAAATTTTTGCAAATCATTTGATAAAAATGAAATAATTCGTATATTTGACTGTTTAAACGTTCAGACAAACTTATTTCACATCTATAAATTTGATATTTCAATGCTTGAATTCAATCGTTAATTATGTTTGTTGGTGGAATTGAAACTCCTTCACTCGAATCTTCGCTTTATCATAGACTTTGCCTAGGTATTATTCTTAGGAGAAAGAAATAAAAATATTGTCTTGTTCTAATTTTTGCCTTGTTATTACATGTGAGTTTGGAGAAAGAAATATAAATATTGTCTTGTTCTAATTTTTGCCTTATTATTACATGTGAGTTTGAACCAAGTTCAAGAAAATCAAGAATCTATAGTACCAAAAGATTATTGTGCCCGTGACAGACAAGAACTTGGTGCTGCTCCCTTCCAATCTGTCTTATGACCCACATTGATGCCAAAGTTTGAGTGATGAATTACATAATTTTTAGTACTAATATAACGTGTTTATCATTGCGCATCTTTAATTTTTTTTATAAATAAATTAATTATCGTGATATCATTGAACTGGTAAAAATGTTGTGTTCAACTAGTAACTCGTTATGCTTGAATTACAAAAACTTTCAATCAAATGTACAGTCGAATGTGCTTATCTGCACCAGACATTCAAATCAAATTACTAATTTTCTTGTTCTCTATGTATGTAAGGGGTTACGTCTTTTGACAATACTTTTTTCTCTCTCCTCTTTCGATCTATGGGACTTTATCCAAGCTAACCATTCATTCCGAAAGTCGATAAAATATAAAAACGTCACAAGCACACACGATGGTGAGAACAAGCCCTATTGTTCACTGAGAGTAGGGTCCAAGGATGACTAATCAGTTTCATAGGGTTCTTATGCAGTACTGGTCCAGTCCCTTTCATTATAGCCACACTTGGGCTACGATATTTGGACTGCATCCCACCAAACAAAACACAATTAAAATGGGCCATCTATCCATGTTAATTCAATGAAATAATGGTCCACAATTTCATAGGTTAAAATCTTTCTTATTCCTTTAGGGAAAAATTGCAGCTGCCTCTCGACCTTAATCCTTTTTGCGATTTTATCCCCAACGTTCATTTCTTGACAAAGATGTCTCCTACTTGAAGGGGGTGGACGGGGTTGGCAGCGATAATGGTGAAGCTAGAGAAGGTTGCTGTACAAAGTCGTTTTGGCCCATGGGTTTTGTTTGAAGAAGATGAAGTAATAAAATAAAAGAATTTCTTTCAATTTTCAATGTATTTGTCTATGCTTTTTTAAATTAGAAGGCAAATTAGTCTCTTTCATCAATTTAACGAAGTTTACGAATGGAACTCAAGATGTTGTGCACTAAAAATGAAAGTTAGAGACGATAGTACAAAAGAGATTAAAGATTAAGAACGATGACGATAATTTTTCATATTCTTCTTTTTTCTTTCCTATCATGTAAAAGGGGAGGGGAGGGGAGGGGTGGGGTGTATAAAACAATTAGTCAATCAAAAGGGTCCTCATCTGAATGTTTTATTCTGACAAGTCAAGTTGGAAGTGCATGTGATCTAATTTCTAACTTAATGCTATGTGCAAGAAAAGCTTTCTATAGTATGTCTACTTTCATATACTTGAAAGTAATATGTTAAATTCCCACCAGTCACTCAATTTTCTATAGTATGTCTATTTTCATACAAAATAATACATACCATTCCTACAACATTATTTTCAATTAATTCTCATTATTGTAGCCCCTCTACCCACAAGCTACAATCAAATTATTGTTTTTCGAACCGTGCCCCTTTTTGATAAGTACATATTAAGAGTACTACCACTTAATTTACCTGAATTTGTACTATATACCGTTATATAATATAAGAGAAGACACGATTTTACCTTCTTTTTCTTTAATATTTATCATAAAACTTTTTCATATGTACCAAACGTATGCAACTCGTGCATTTACTTAAGATAGTAATTTGTAATCGTCTACAACACGATTTATCAAAATAATATCCCGTCATTATTGTACAACCCTTTTAGTGATATTTGAGAAATTCAACCGTATGCATAGTACACAATATTACATCGCATTCAAGAATATAAATAACATTTTAACTTTATTTAAGTATTTGATATAATAGACTCTTGTCTAACCATTCACCATGTCCTAAAACGTGTTAAGTGTAACTATGCAGTAAAGTCAAATTTCAAGATTTTACAAGCCAAAGCAGGCATTTCTTGGTGACCAAAGTGTAAAAACTTACGAGACGTTAAGGTTAAGCTTCGCAGCTAAAAGGCAACTGCGTGTTCTTTCAAAACACATAACATAAGCCCCTGTTTGGCACCTATTCTCTTTCTCATTCTCTTTCTTCATTTCAACTACACATTTTTCAAATAAAATAATATTACACACAAATCTAAAACTTTTTATCTCTTTCACACCGCACATTCTCCAATCAATCACTATTCTAAAAATTTTCAACCCATTAAAATGGGTGTCAAGCACTCAATAAGTATATAAAACATCCATGCCCGAGGTCCCCAAGTTTGCGTGTGCGCACTTCTCCTCCACTGAGGATAACATATTTCCCAATACAACTAGGTGACAAAACAGACTGCAATCACAAATGGCCATACCGTTTACAGCTTGCTAAACACCTTTCTATAGTGTACTTTACAGCATGTTCAACACAATAATCTGTCCCTTAATCATAATCATAACATAATCATATGACAATAATTATAAAGATGCATTTTTAAATGTGGAGAGATAGAACTGTACGTTATGGGTTAAACGTCTAATTTGTACTACCGAGAGCAATAAAAGCAAGTAAAGAACACCCAATTTATGGAGGTTCACAATCAGTGTGAGAGTTGCATCCACTTGATGCAAGTTAAGGGGGTGATAGCTCCCAATCCCAATCGATGTTACCGTGAAAATCAATCTACAATCGATAGTGAAGAGTATAATTCAACTCCATATATCCAACATTCTTCCAACACTCTTCTAACTTTATCCAGCAACCAAGTATGGATTCTGCTGTTTTCCAATACTTGTAAGAGGATTACCAAAATAGTGGTTAAAAATGAAGTAGATAACATAGTATACGTGAATTAATCTTAGTGGCTGTAAAGTCAAGAACCTAAAATAATTAATTAATATCCCCACTTCCCTCTTTTGAAGGAAAAACAGCACTTATTTTTCCTCTAGTTTCTTTGAGAGAGAAAGGTACTAATGAAATTTGGAGTTTTCTGCAGCAACCAGGAGGCTGCTAATCTCGACCACTGGGAAATGCACCCATGTTACAAGAGCCTAATCATATTGTACGATATATTTATGTATATATATTTATCCTCTCAACCACGGATAATACAGAGCGTGTACTTATCTCCTCGACCACGAATCGACTTAATATTCCTAAATATAAGAATTAGGCATTCTATACATATATCATGTTGCCTAAATATTCCTACATAAGAATTTTTTCGAGTGCGTCTCCTAAGAGATTCAGGCCCTTTTTGAGCCACATTATTTTTTTTTTGTTATCTTTTTTAAGACTTATTTTGAATCACACATTCTTCAATAAAATAATATTTTCCGTCATATCAATAATTTTTCTTTATTTTTCAACCACACATTTCTCATCATATCAACAGTAAAAATACATTCTTTTTCCAAAAATGTGCACCAAACGGGGGCTCAGGCTTTAAGACACGTGTTCACTATTGTAATACCTTTTTTCCTTCACAGTGAAAGCCTACTTCAATTAGTGGGACGTAGAGGGTGAACCACTATAAATTAGTCTCTTAATCCATAACAACACACACTTCTTTATTCTCTCCCCCTCTCTTCATCATGAGGCACTCATTTTCATGAAGCCACATTTCCACACAACTCAATGGCTTTCATCCCTCCCACTTCATTAGATTTTTCTAACGATAATGAAAAATTAGACTTCGAATCGGTACGTGCACTTGTTACCCTTATCAAGCAGCACATAGATTCCCTCTTTGAAGACACTCAAACCTGGAAATCTTTAAAATCAAAATGCACTTCCAAGCTCAAGATTCAAACACAAGAATTTTTCGAGTTTTCCGACTACTCAGTACTGTCAAATCTTTACTGGGGTATCGAGGGTATTGAAGAAGCATTCCAAACTAAATTCACGGAACAGAAAACCAGCAAGCTGCAGAATTCAGAGAAACTGCTACAAGATCCTGCATCACTTGATGAAAATGGAATGACGCTGGGATTCCCAAACATTTATTTAGTATGCTGTTCTTATTTTTACCTCTCAATAGTTGAGAAACTTCGTAAGAATGAGTGGCAGGCTGCAATACATTTTCTTCAAGCACTTTTAGTTTCCCCCAGGCTTGTTCACTCAGAATTCGCACCCGGTGTTTGCCAGAATCTGTTTCTATTCTGCATTAGGCACGAAAGTGTTAAAACATTAGGAAGTCGAAGAATGAATGTAGTGTCTTTCACGGATTTTGATAATGATGAGGTCGATGATGCAATGAGATGGATAGCAAGGAATTACAAGCCCTGGTTGATGTATTACCAGATAATGTCCCGTGGAGAAATTACTTCTTCTGATGATCAATCACAATATATCATGTAAGTTTTCTGGCAATGAATGACAAAGTTAATAGAAAAATTTTATGTGCACAAATAGATAACTCTTGTGTACAGTACAATACAATTTTGAATTCCCGTAATCAACAAATTCTCACCTGAATTGCTGCTCAGGAATGGGGACACAGAGCCGCAGATTTCATACGAAAAGAGATATGGCATGAGGACTCACAACAATGTAAGTTCACATGAATTTACCTTTTTAATACAGCAAAATAACAAATTTAAGACTTTCATGAAATCGCAATTACAATATTTTCGAAGCAAGTATTTCAAGCACATGAATCAAAACAACATAAATTTTGATGCAAAGAAAAGAACTAGACTGTCAATAATTTAGACATGAATATGAGGAAGTAGAAAAATGGTGTTTACTACACAAGTTTTTTATTTTCAAGTTATTTACTTCTCCTGTGGCATAAAATTTCAATAAGTGAAAGCTAGCCTTTTCTGTATAATAGATCTTTCAACTCTTTTGATGTTCAAATTAAAAAGAATAACTGCAGCTTGCGAAGGTGCATCATCTTACTAATAATGTGGAAAAAGAAACAATGTATCAGAGCCATAAGAAATTGGCAGCATATTCAGATCAGAGCTCCTGTACAGGAACTGCAGTAAGCTCAAATATCAAATGCCTAAAAGATATTTTAACAGAATCCCAGTCCGATACACACTCGTGCAATAGCTCTTCTATAGATGAATGTTTTCCCGAGGTAACTCTCCAGAAAGAAAACCAAGTTTTCAGAGTATTAGTCTCTACTAAACTAATATGCAGAAGAGTTTACTTGCTAAGCAAAATACTGTAACATATATTTTTTTATCAACCAGGATTATGCAGAGGATTCTGAAAGTACATTGGAAAACAACAGTAATGAAGAGGATAAGCCAGCTGAAATTTTTTATCAGTAAAGTCCCCATCACTAATAATTTTGTTTTTTAGGTTGAAAAGTGTTACATGATTAAGTGTATACTAGTATTCTTACACAGACAATATTGGCCATACAGGAATTTGCAGGCTCCATCCAATTCAAAGTTAGAAAATACGGTAGCTAATCTTCAGGCTTCTAGACATCAAACGCGCAGAGAAGCTAATGAAGTAAAGGTCATTCAAGGCTTTTCGCAGAGATTCACGACTTCATTTTGTGATGTAGATAATTACGTGGAGGACGAAGAGAAACTACATCTACATAATTACATCAGTTCAATGACTCTGAAGAAATGTTCTTCAAGGACAAAGAAAAAATCGAGTTTCCAACCAACTTTACCTGATGCTTGTTTACAACCGGAAGGAAGTTTTCACATCGACCAAATTGGATTATTTCAAAAAATGATTTCGAAGTTATGCTTCACAGAACAATTGGAGAATTGTGAGGAAGAACATACAGTTGAAACGAAAACAATATATAAGTTGTTGAATAACAAATCAGGACTGAAATATTCCATTTTGAAGGATGTAATATTGGATAAGCTACTGACGGATATTTCGACTTCCAAAGAGGAGCAGGTAGTAAGAACATCAGTGTCAATACTCTCGACTATTGTTACAGAAAATAAATCAGTTGTAGAGGAAGTCAAGAGAAAGGGATTAAAGTTGTATGATTTGGCAACTGCCTTTAAGAGAAATGTGCACGAGGCTGTTATTCTTATCTATTTAATAAATCCATCTCCTGCAGAAATCAAGACATTAGAACTTTTACCTTGTTTGGTCGAGGTTGTCTGCACCTCACAAAGTTACAAGGTGGGCGTAAGATCGCTCCTGCTTACACCTCCAGCAGCATCATTGATGCTCATCGAGTTACTAGTAACTGAATTTGACCATGAAACAAATAATATGCATGTAGCGGCAATCAGCTCTCCCAGAGTACTTTCCGGGCTACTTCTTGTTCCAAGACAAAATAACCTCGAAGAATTCATTTCTTTGGCTTCTATTCTTGTCAAGTGTATGCGGTTTGATGGACAATGCAGAAAATACATAGTAGAATCTTCTCCGGTGGCTACTTTTGTATCTCTCCTATGGAGCAACCAAAAGCGTGCAACACACATAGCACTAGAATTTTTCCATGAATTGCTTCGAATGCCACGGTATGCCATAATGCTTGAAGCCCTCTTACTTTCTGTATCATAAAGAATAAGACACTCTTTACTAGTGATTATGTCAAAGTACATGCTCTGCCAAGGAAAAAATAATCCCTTGTAGCTTCATATAATCTTAATTACGACATGATATACATTTATTTTTTAGTTTTTGCTAGTAAGCTAAACACAGAGTCTGAGCTGCAGAGTCACCGAATGAAGGATTCCAGTAATTCGGTGGGCTAATGAGATATTTTCTTGCATCAGCTCATCTGCCATAAATTTACTGAAGCAAATACAAAATGAAGGAAGCATCGACAGTATGTGTGCTCTATTGCTACTCATCCAGAATTCTGATCCTGACTACAAGCTTCTAGCGGCAAATTTGTTATTGCAGTTGGAAATGCTGGTAAGTTTATCAATTACTAAAATGTGCATAATCTCACGTGCTATCAGTGACTTTAGAGATTTTATTTCCTTTACATCAGTTACCAATCTTACGACATTTTCCTTTACTAAATAAAAATGAGGATCTGAACCCTACTACAACTTTGACGAACAAGAAGTAAGATTTCACGGTTTTCACCTGTTTTACACAATATCTCATAGTTTAGACATGTTTAATGATTATTCAGAATATGTTCCTATGGATAAAATGGTCAAAAGGGTTGGAAATAGATACAAGCAGCAGCAAGAATCAGATAAACCCTTTTTTAGGTCCCTGTCTCCCGGTGGAAATGGGAGCGAAGGCATCCAGTGGATAAGCTAAATTTAGTTGGCACGTTCAACATATTTTTACAATACAATTAGATGCACTAGCACAAGAATACCTCCATATATTCTTGGAAATGCTCAGACTGGGATTTTAAAAGATACTATAAGATGCAAACCATGAACGAGTGACAGTTTAGTCCACATAGTTCAGCATCGTCTTCACTTTTCATAACTGAACTCAGAGAATTTATACACTTAATTAAGAATCTGATAATGCAATTTTCTTTAGTCCTCTGCAATATTAGGTTGAATTGTTACTTATTTGGCTAGATGAAAAAAAAAATTCCAGGAAGATGCATCTGCAAAATGCATATATAGGGAACAGGCTGTGGATGCGCTTCTTGAATCACTGACATATGAAGAGAACACTATCACGCAGTCATTGTCGGCATTCATCCTATCAAATTTGGGTGGAACTTTTTCTTGGACAGGGGAGTCATATACAGCAGCTTGGTTGGTGAAAAAATCCGGTTTGACCTCACTAGATCACAAGAATATGATAAGGAACTGTGACTTCCTGGATCAAAGCCTACAGGCAAGTTTTTGTTCAAGTTCTCATTGCATCACCTGGTATCGAAGCAGGCAAATCTTATCTATTTAACTTTCTTCATGCCCACTTATGAAAATTATGCACGAGTCAAATCTTTGATAAAAAAAAAAATGAATTCAACCTCCATGTGGGGGTGGGGGAGGGGGAGGGGGGGGGGGGAGGGGTTATATAAAAGGCTAAAATAAATATATGTCTCCACTCTCTAATACTTAAGCTTTTAGTAGAGTTGGTTCGATGTGGTATATGAAACAGGCAAGGTTGTGTGTTTTACTCTAGCCACTATCCATCTATAAAAAATGTGCACGTTCAAGCCTTTGCTAAAAAATGAATCTAACCTGCACGTGAGGGGACATTGAAGATTAAATGAAAATGAATAAATCTAACCATCTCTAATAGCTTAAACTTTTAGATAAGGCAGTTGAATAGTTCTAGATTTTAAACAAAATTTAAAGTAGCTTCTTTAAATGCATGAACTTACAGGATTTTGGGATAGATGCCTGGTGCAGCAAAATCGCACAGCGTATGTTAAATTTCGGAACTTCTGTCTTCCATGCTTTGGAGAAGGGTCTTAAGAGCAAGTCCAAAAGAGTATCACGAGACTGCCTTACAGCTATTGCTTGGCTCGGGAGTGAAGTTGTGAAATGTCCAAAAGAATTGAGAAATGCTGCGTGTGAGATTTTACTAAATACAATTGTGCAATATGTGCATCCCGGGTTCGATCTTGAAGAAAGACTCTTGGCTTGTCTATGCATCTATAACTACACTTCTGGCAGAGGTAATGCCCCGTGGAAGAATAATCTCGAATTGAATACATTTTATAAAAAACATAGGATTAAGCTGGAGTTTATTCTCACAGGAATGAAGAAAATAATTAATCTATCAGAAGGAGTACGAGAATCACTGAGACGCCTTTCAAATGTTACCTGGATGGCTGAAGAATTACTGAAAGTAGCTGATTTTTTCCAGCCAAATAAGTGGGTGAGTTTGCCAACAGAGCTTCAGTTTTCTCATTGATCATATGATATATTTGGCTATAGATGTATCACTTTGAACATGATAACATGTGAGTGATAAAAATATCTCAGTTATCTCACTAAAATACTTCCATATTATTTTAATTGATGTCTCCCCTACATGTCCATGTCCTAATTTTATGAAAAATCGCATTCGGTGTGCTCGAATCTGCTTCTTAGGGTTCAACTAACTAATGTCACAAGAGGCTGCAAGAATATTATGCATTGAGTAATGGTAAATCTGCACGTGCATATACATCTATATAGCTGATTTTTTCACGTACTAACCTGTTCTTAATGCAAATGGTAAAAACAGAGAATATCTTGTGTTCATAGACACATTCTGGAGGCAGGACATAAATGTAGTGAAGCTGTAACTGCCCTCATCTACTACACAGGACAGCTTTATAGTGGATATGCAGATGGTTCAATCAAGGTTTGTGATACTTTTATGGTCTTCCTACTTTTGAACGTGCGGATACATCATGATTACACAAGAGAATACAAGAAAGACTATTTTCATTGGGAGGTGGAGAATGAGAAAGAAAACTAAGACAACATTTAATTGGGTTTATGTAATAATTAAATGGTTCTCGACTATCATTGCATTAGGAACAGATTGAAGAGCAACTACATTTAATGGAAACAATTTACAAATGGTGTTAATTGTAGGTTTGGAGCATCAAAGGACAGACGGCCACACTTGTAGAGGACATCAAGGAGCACAAAAAAGCTGTGACGTGCTTTTCGCTTTATGAACCAGGGAACTGTCTTTTGAGTGGATCTGCTGACAAAACGATTAAGGTAATAAAATTAGTGAATCTTAGTCCATGTTTATCTCTCTTTAAAACAAAACTCTTTAATTCTCATACGCATTTCAACCACACATTCATACAAGAAAATATTTTACACGTAAATCCAAAACTTTGCCTACATTTTAACCACACATTCTTCAAAAAATCATTATTTAAAGCATCATTTTTTGGAAATAATAGCCATCAAACAGGGGCTTAGTCAAGCTCTCATATTCATCAGAGAGAGAGAAATAGGGGACCTAATTATCTGAATGGCTTTCTCTTCTACAGATTTGGCAAATGGTCCAGAGGAAACTAGAATGCATCGATGTCATACCAACAAAAGAATCAATCAGAAGTATAGATTCTTGGGGCGAACTGATTTTCGCAACCACCCAAAGCCATAAAGTGAAGGTGTGACTATAACAATAGTGACATTAACAATTGAGCGTGATAAATTTATGAGATGCAAGCAAAATGAATGCATACCTCCAATGTAACCATCTTCTTCAGGTTTTTGATGCATCAAGAAAAGTTGATGATATTTTCAAGAGTAAACGAGTGAAGTGCATAAGGGTAGCCCAGGGAAAGTTGTACATAGGCTGCATGGATTCAAGCATACAGGTTAGTTCGATTCTCTTTTCCGTCTGAACATATGTTCAGAGATCGAATGCCAAGTCTTATGCTACTTCATTCAGGAGTTAGTTATAACAAACAGCCGGAAGCTAGAGATCAAAGCACCATCGAAGAGTTGGATGCAGAACAAGCCCATAAATTCAGTTGCTATATACAAGGACTGTCTATATAGCGCAAGTTTAGTCCTCGAAGGTTCAAAGATCAAGGTAACAGAAATAAATAACTAATTAGAGTTAATGCAAATAATTTCTTATTGATTGGGCAACAAATCCAGGATTGGAGAAAAAACAACAGTCCCCAAATATCTGTGGTGCCAGAGAAGGGGGCAAGCATTCTTGCGATGGAAGTAGTGGAGGATTTTATATACTTAAACTGCAGCACATCAATGAGCAGCCTTCAGGTAACCAATGCACTGTGTTTACCGTGATAGATTAAACCTTAATCCCTAGCTCCAAGAGCAATAATAGAATAGAAAAGAAATGAGAAACGTTTTATAGTGGTTCACCGTCAATGTAAGAGTTATGTCCACTTGCCACTACTAAGTTTCCATTATCATCAAGAAGTTTAACAACAGGAGATCTCACACCTCTCTGTCTTATCTTTCAGGCTGAAAGAGGGCACTCCCTCAGATCCTTCATTCAACATAATAACTAGGGCGACCTAATACAAAGTATAAGGACCCCTAACAAAAAATAATAATAATAGCAATAATATTTGCTTCCATGTGGTCAAAGATTTGCAAACCGAATATAATTAAAAGTAATAATCATTTGACTGTTGAGTCTTTTCTAACAATCCCGTGTTATCAACTGAGTTATATCTATGCAAGCAGATATGGTTGAGAGGGACACAACACAGAGTTGGCAGACTATCAGCTGGCAGCAAGATAACGAGCCTACTCTCAGCCAATGACATGATTCTATGCGGTACAGAGACAGGATTGATCATGGTTTGTTAACACTCATTGCTTTAATTTCTTGTTGATTTTTCTATAGCCCCTTGAACTTATTTATCAATCCAAAAAAATGACAGGGTTGGATTCCCCTCTAGCAGAAGATTGAACGAGTCTTCAATTCAAGCTCATACCAGTAATTTTTGAACTTAGCATATTTTTGTGTATAAAGCATATGGAGAGTATGATTCTATGATAAAAGAGAACTGCCACACATTTATTCCTGTAGTTACTTCCCAGCATAAATTCATGACAATGTAAATTGATTGTATACCTCAGTACAATGTAAGTATACTTTACAAGATCAGTTATTTTTCTTCCACAAGAATATGTAAATGGATTCAAACTCTCAAACTGCTTTATTTATATCGAGGGGGTGATCTAGCTAGGAACTTACTTTTGCAGCGCTAGAACTATTGTGACACTCACCCTACTATTTTGCAACCTATATCCAACGATTCATCTACTTGGAAAAGGATGTTATCTGTCAGAAAAGATGTAAAACCCTTCATTGCATCAATAATGGGTATGGGGTATCTCCACACGGTTTGATAATTTCATTGGGGACAAACCTCTCTTAATGGTTTTACCCTTCCTTAGCCATTCACAACATACAGTACGGAAGTTTAAAAGTGGTTGTAATTGGGACATTAACAAGCTGAATGCTCCTTTCCCTATTGCTGCTGTTCATGACATTATAGAAATTCCACTGTATTCCAATGAAACAGATCAGAGTTATTGGAAACTCACCAATGATGGTAAATTCTCCATTTCATCTTGCTAGAAACTGGTTCAGATTTGTGAAAATATCCTTCTTTTAAATGGAAAATCTTGCATAATCGGGTACCGATGGATGAAGTGTTAAAAACCAGGATGCATATTAGTCTGGCATCTAAATTGTCAATGTTGTGGGTATTTGGAATCACTAGCACATGAATTTCAATGCTAAGTTCCATTCTTTTCACCACAGTTTAACAACCAAGGTATGATATTTCTTCAATACTGGACCCTGCTCGAAAGAAATGCAAACCGGGAGCTTTTATGATATTGTGGTATTTGTTGACTGAAAGGAACAATGCCAAACACTTCAACATGAAAATGAATATTAGAAGGATAGATCACGTGGTTCAAGTGATCACAGATTCTGGGCTAGTCATTGGGAGCAAAAATTACCAAACATGATTGTTTTTACTGTGAATGCCTCAACCATGACATTGAAATCTGCCCAAATTCTGATACTAAAAAGACAAACAAATCTTTAAAAGGAAAAAATATCTGTTGGGCAATTTGGCCAAGAATTGGGCAACAGACCAAATTTATGGTCATAAAATTGACAGCTTGTTCAAATGAAGTATATAAAGGTTGAAAAGAGAAAAAGAGAAAATCAAGAAAAATGGAGGAAGAGAAGGGGAAGTTTGTAATCATCAGGGAATGGATCGTGGAGCACAAGCTTCGAACTGTTGGTAATTATATCGAAATCCCATTTTTATAATTATATGACCTTGAATTTTTGGGGGGAAATTCTTGAAGGGACTCTCTGGACTA